TAAAAAAAAATTTTTTTTTTTTTTTTTTTTTTTTTTTAATATTTGGCATTTTTGAACTTTCAACAGTCAAAGTATAGTTCAAATGATAAAGGCCGTGATGAGATGGAAATAGAAAAACTGACTTTAATACATTAAGATAACGAAACTGAATGAAATGAAATAGTTGAGATAATATCGATAATCGATAACGCAAAGTAAACCAATAGTAGTAATAAAAAAAATAAACAATAGGAGCGTGCGAAACCACGCGTAAACCTGCCAAATAAAAGAAAAATTTTCTACCTCAGAGCCTTTTTTTATAAGAAAATAAAACTTAAAGTCATTAAATATGGCGCACGCGAACACACGAAACCCGTAGTACCACACGTTTAATTTATGTTGTAAACGCACCAACGTCGTAAACGCGAAACGTTTTCGCGTAATGAGAATACCCATTGGTTGTTCGTGGCTATTTTGTTTCGTATAATCCTACCTTGACCTTAGGTCGAGGCTGTAATAAACTATACGAATAACTACTCTTCAGTACTCGATTGATAATAAAATAACAGAAAGATAGATGTATAATATTTATTTATGTTAACAATGAAACACATAGTTTGTTAGTCAGAGCATTTTATTTTTGCACTTTTGTACCTATATACGTTAATGAACCAGTGTCTTGGGTGACATTCACTTGACTAATAATGATAACGATAATTCAGGACGATGAAAATGGCATTTTTTTTCTTTTTTCGGTCGGTCATTCATGCATCATGTTTTCACTCACGGATAACGCCAAAAAAAAACAAAATCGCTGCGGCAACGCGATCGAGTCAATCTTAATCGCTGAAAATTTTTTGTAAAAATTACAATGAAGGAGAACAAGAAAAAAAAAAATTTATAAAATTGAAAAAAAAAAAAAAAAAAAAAGAAAGAAATTATAATAATTATAACGAGTAAAATGGCGAAAACAGTCAAGTTAAAAGTAACACACCCCCATCATTCAAATTACTAATAAAATAATTGTAGTAATAACGAGTGTGCGTGTGAAAAAGACAGAGGCGCGAATGGGAATGGATGTTGCACTATTTTTACCCGTAGAAAAAAAAGTAACGATAAAATTTAAGATTTCGATTAAAAAGTACGCATAGTTAGGTGGAGACAAATTTATATGATAACTGTCGGTAAACAAAAATTTTGATCTAAAAATTAAAAAAAAAAAAAAAAAAATTTGATGATGAAAAAAATTAATTCGTAAGTTCAGGCGCTGCGCGAGAGTGCAACATTAGGAAAACGGGTGGAATGATTTTATTGTAAGGCGGTAAGAACCAGCGCGGAAAGATAAAGGAGTTGCGGTAGGATAGGCTATAAAATAGAATAGAACAGAAGGGCGGGCAGGGATCGATGTGGTAAAATTGATGAAAATTTTCTAAATTCTTCAAAATTAATGCCGGTGTACCTAATAAATAATCATTAATCGTATCATGTAATACTTTTCGGCACTTATATAGTTTAGGCTTAATAAATACAGGCGTAAAAATAAATACACAAGTGTAGGTAAGCGGAAAGAGCAGGCGATTNAATTTTCTAAATTCTTCAAAATTAATGCCGGTGTACCTAATAAATAATCATTAATCGTATCATGTAATACTTTTCGGCACTTATATAGTTTAGGCTTAATAAATACAGGCGTAAAAATAAATACACAAGTGTAGGTAAGCGGAAAGAGCAGGCGATTGATGAAAACAGATAAATAAAAGTAGCTGAGCGGCACACTATTGTAGATTTATTATGGTTTGTAAATAAAAAAAAAAGTGTTTTTTTTCCGTATACGGCTTTTTTTTTTTTTTTTTTTTCTATCTCCCCCTACCACACATCTTTCCCTTTTCCCTCCCATCCACCTCATTTCTCTCTTTTTACGGCTCCCCCCCGCGCCCCATACCAGAGGCGCGTTGCGAATAACGGCTGACGGTCGTCTCTTCCCCTCGACTCCCTTCGGGCCCACACCCACCGCCTACTTCGAGGGCTCTCTTCCTTCCTTCCTTCTCCTCGTGCCTCACCAAACGTGTATGTGTATACGTGTGGGTGGGTGCGCGTGCACATGGGGACAGACGCGAGAAGGTGGAGAGGCGGGGAAGTAAGCCGGGCGCGCTCGATTTGGCGCCACCGGGTGAAAATGGGTCAAGGCCTGCACGGCTATACATATACATATATAACCACCGCCACCGCCAAGGAGGAACTGTAGTTTTCTTACCTCCTCAGCCCTTCCCGAACCCTCCCTCGCGGGGGCGTTGCCGTCGTCGCGGGCTTTCGCAAAAAAAAAAAAAAAAAAAAAAAAAAAAAAAAAAAAAAAAAAAAAAAAAAAA